TAAGGACTCGATAGGTAGACAAAAATGCCAAATCCAGTGTGAACATCTGGCTGACTGTGCGATGATTAATAATAATAATAATAATAATAATAATAATAATAATGATGTTGGAAGGGACCTTGGAGGTCATCTAGTCCAACCACCTGCTCAGGCAGGAAACCCTATCCCATTTCAGACCAGTGGCTGTCCAGTCTCTTCTTAAGTAACCAGCTTTTACACTGCATGGTCAGTCTCGACCCCATCCTCCACCAGGATTCCACTCCAGATTTTCCCCACCGCCCGACCTGAGCATCCTTGATCTCTCAGGAGCTTTTGTGGGTGGCCCAATTAGCTAATGATTTCAGGAAATAAATTGTGCTAAGTAAAGAAATCTTAAAGAGCAATTATTGCAAGCCAGATGCTTGGATTCCTCTGACAATTCTAGCAGGGAGAGAGAATTTCTGGCTTCCTGCCTCACCTCTGAAGAAAATAATAATAATGCAAAATTATTAAGGGAGGCCAAAGAAAACCCCGTGCAGCTGGACTGTTCCTATAGACCTGATGCGAGAGATTGTACAAACTTAGCAACCGAATCAAACATGTGTTGCCTTAGAGCAGGGGTCTTCAAACCTGGCCCCTTCATGACTCGTGGACTTCAACTCCCAGAATTCCTGAGCCAGCATAGGGGAACTATGGCTCCTTCATGACTTGTGGACTTCAACTCCCAGAATTCCTGAGCCAGCGTGGGGGAACTATGGCCCCTTCATGACTTGTGGACTTCAACTCCCAGAATTCCTGAGCCAGCGTGGGGGAACTATGGCCCCTTCATGACTTGTGGACTTCGACTCCCAGAATTCCTCAGCTAGGCCCGCTGGCTGAGGAATTCTGGGAGTTGAAGTCCACAAGTCATAAAAGGGCCAAGTTTGAAGGCGCCTGCCTTAGAGTTAGAAGGGGTATCAATAGGCCAATCTAGGCAGGCCCTGCATTACAGCTAGTCCTCGACTTACGACCACAATTGAGCCTAAGAAATTTCAGTTCTTAAGTGAGACTTTTGTTATGTGAGTTTGGCCTCGTTTTATGACCTTTCTCTGCCTCACTTCTTAAGTGAATCCCTGCAGCTGTTAAATCAGTAACATGGTTGTTAAGTGAATCTGGCTTCCCCCGTTGACTTTGGTAGTCAGAAGGTCGCAAAAGGGGATCACCTGACCCCTCGGGAACACCGCGACCGTCATAAATGTGAGTCAGTTGCCAAGTGCCCAAATTTTGGATCACGTGTCCGCGGGAATGCTGCAATGTTCCTAAGTGTGAAAAACGGTCAAAAGTCACTTTTTCTAAGTGCCTTTGTAATTTCAGTCACTACGTGAACTGTTGTTAAGTTGAGGACTGCCTTTAAGTGAAAAAAATGGGATGGTAGCCAAAGACTTATGCGTGTTTTCGATCTCTTTTTTTTTTCAGAAACAGCCACCCCAACCGCCGACTTGTGAAAGGATCTCAGAGGCTGTTTCTGACTTTAGACGATGTAACTTTTGTGAACACCAAAATCAGTAGAATGGTAGGTGATGGGAGACCGTCTCTCATTGACCCGGTTAAGGGGGGGGGTTTGCCCAGGTGGGCAAAAAAGTCAAGATGATGTCCGGTTGCATCAGTCATATGTCACTTTTCCCAGTGCCCTTGTAACTTCAAAAGGGTCATTAAATGAATGGTTGTAAATCAAGGACTATAACTGTCATGGTTCCGACAGATGAAACTCTTCAAAGAACTTTGACGCATTGTTTACCTTAAAGAATCTTTATTTGAGTAGCATAGCATTGGCACTAACATAGTCAAAGCCATAATCTGAGTTCCCCTCCCCTTGAGCATATAGTATCCAAGCACAATTCCCTCCTCCAATTAACAGTCATAAATCACATTCCCCAATTAGCTTGAAACGCAGGCTTCCCCTCCAGTTCTCCAGCCTGGCCAATTCTTATCATCTCTTATTTCAATAACCTTGGTTCTCACACTAGGTTCAGCATTGTTATGTCTAGCTAAACTCTCATGCACATTCCTCCCCCCAGCATCATTTAAGAGTAAAACATAAGAAGAAAATTGTTGCATCTCCATCTGTTGTCAAAGCAAAAACATTCGATGTTAGCAGCGTTGACAATACCTGCATATGGTCTTTCTCCCCTCCCGCCTTGGTTTCCATCTTTGCTTAATTCCTGGCTGTGCAGGTCGTCCTCAACTTACGACCACAGCAGAGCCCAAAATGTCTGTTGTTAAGTGAGTCTTGCCCCATTGTACGACCTTTCTTGCCACCGTTGTTAAGTGGATCATTGCAGTTGTTAAGCTAGTAACACGGTTGTTAAGTGAATCCGGCTTCCCCCCCATTGACTTGGCTTGTCAGAAGTTTGCAAAAGGGGATCACGTGACACACACACACACACACACACGTGATGCTGCAACGGTCATAAGTGTGAACCCATTGGGACATCACCCCAGACACTGCGACCATCATAAATAGGAGTCAGTTGCCAAATTCTGATCACGTGATCGTGAGGATGCTTCAAAAGTCGTAACTCTGAAAAACGGTCAGGAAGTCCCTTTTTTTCGGCGCCGTTGTAACTTTGAAGGGTCACTAAATGAACTGTTGTAAGTCGAGGACTACCCGTATATGCTCTTTCTCCCCCTTGGTCTCCATCTTTGCTGAATTCCTGGCTGTCATTGCTTGCTTTCCCAGAGGTTAACTCTTGACAACCTCAGCGAGTCAAAGAGCTGCTCCGAAGAACACAGCCTTAGGTCCGTGACCCACTCGTTGTCGGTGAAAAGCACAACTCTAACCTACGAAACCTCCAATGTGGCTGTGTACGAGGTAAGGGGGACCTTCATGACGTAGGAGCAATGAGGATTTCTTGAGATCCCTCTACATCAATATCAGTAAAGCCCAAATTAGTGGTAGAGAGAAAAATGGGGGAATATTAGTGATTGGCCCAGTCACCTAGCTGGCCTTCATGGCTAAGGTGGGACTAGAACTCACCGTCTCCTGGTGATTGGCCCAAAGTCACCCAGCTACCTTTCATCTCTAAAGCAGAATTAGAACTTCCAGTCTCCTGGTGATTGGCCCAAAGTCTCTCATCTTTTGTCTCTAAGACAGAACTAGAACTCCCAGTCTCCTGGTGATTGGCTCAAAGTCCCCCAGCTATCTTTCGTCTCTAAAGCAGGGCTAGAACTCACCATCTCCTGGTGATTGGCCCAAAGTCACCCAGCTGACTTTCATGGCTAAGGTAAGACTAGAACTCCTAGTCTCCTGGTGATTGGCCCAAAGTAACCCAGCTGACTTTCATGCCCAAGGCAGGACTAGAACTCCCAGTCTCCTGGTAATTGGCCCAGTCACCTAGCTGGCCTTCATGGCTAAGGCGGGACCAGAACTCCCAGTCTCCTGGTGATTGGCCAAAGTCACTCATCTTTTGTCTCTAAGAGAGAAGTAGAACTCCCTTTCTCCTGGTGATTGGCCCAAAGTCTCCCAGCTACCTTTCCTGTTTAAAGGAGGAACTAGAACTCACTGTCTCCCAGTGGTCTAGTCTGGTGCCTTAACCACTCTTAGATCTTTCATTGTAAAGCTATAGTAACAAAATCTTGCAAGTCTGAATATACTCCTCCCACTTTTATTTTCACATGAACCAGGGAGGGATCAGACTAGGGTGTTTTCTCAAGTTGTTTTCTTTGTCTGGGCTTAATCCCTGTTTATCTTGGTAGCATCCAAGTGGCTGAGGTTATCCATGGTCCTTGCCCTTACAACCGTCATAGTGTCCCCACAGTCAAGAGATCGCAATTCAAGTGATTGGCAACCCCATATGTTTACAACGGTTGCAATGTCCCGGGATCACGTGATCACCGTTGGTGACATCCCAGGGATCATCTGACGAGCAAAATCAATTGGCAGAACCAGATTTATTTAACATGCGCTTGATTACGATAAGGACCACTGTGAAAAAGTTTGTTATATGAACTTTGGTTTTAAAAAATTTGCTCTGCTTGGACAGGGAAACTGGGTATGGCTGAAAAAACTGGAGACTGTGTTGACCAGTGATTGGAAGCCACGCGCAACCCATGTGCTTACCAAGGTACGTAGAAAGGGAGAGAGCGAATTGTGCCCCACGTACACACCTTAACTCAGTGTTTCTCAACCTTGGCAACTTTAAGACAGGTGGACATCAATTCCCTGAAAGGGTTATAAGTGTGAAAAACAGTCATAAGTCACATTTTTTTAGTGAAAAAGGCCACCTTGGCATCTTCAAAATGGAAGCAAAAGTCCTAGGACAGGGGTAGGCAACCTTGGCTCTTTTATGGCTCATAGACTTCAACTCCCAGAATTCCTCAGCCAACATGGGCGAACTATGGCTCCTTCAAGACTTGCGGACTTCAACTCCCAAAATTCCTGAGCCAGCATGGGGGAACTATGGCTGCTTCACGACTTGGGGACTTCAACTCCCAGAATTCCTGAGCCAGCATGGGGGAACTATGGCTCCTTCAAGACTTGCGGACTTCAACTCCCAGAATTCCTGAGCCAGCATGGGGAAACTATGGCTGCTTCACAACTTGGGGACTTCAACTCCCAGAATTCCTGAGCCAGCATGGGGGAACTATGGCTGCTTCACGACTTGGGGACTTCAACTCCCAGAATTCCTCAGCCAGCATGGGGGAACTATGGCCCCTCCATGACTGGTGGACTTCAACTCCCAGAATTCCTCAGCCAGCCATGCTGAGGGGAAAGGGAGAGGTTTCCAAACTGAGCCATGCTGGCTGAGGAATTCTGGGAGTTGAAGTCCACAAGTCATAAAAGAGCCAAGGTTGCCTACCCCTGTCCTAGGATTTTCAATCAGTCGATCCTAAAAGAAAACCAACCCTGGCTGTTCTTTGGAAGGACGGATCCTGAAGCTGAAGCTCAATTTTTTTTAGCCACCCAATGAGAGGAGAGGACTCCTGGGAAAAGACCCGGATGTTGGGGAAGATCGAAGGAAATAGGAGAAGGGGACGGCAGAGCATGAGATGATTAGATATGGTCATCAAGGCAAGGAACATGATTTGGGACGAACTCCAGGAGACAGTGGAGGACGGGGGGGGGGGGGGGGGGGGGGGGGGGGGGGGGGGGGGGGGGGGGGGGGCTATGACGTGCTATGGTCCATGGGGGCCACAAAGAATCAGACACAACTTAGTGACTGAACAACAAGAAGAAGATGGAACCCCTCAGGTAGATGGACTTCTACTTCCACAATTTCCCATTCAGCCATGCTGTACTTTCTTACACCTCCTTGTTCTCTTCTTTTTTGATTTGTCTGTAGATGAGGGAGTTACGCCATGAAAATGTGAACCCCTTTCTGGGTGTTTTATCTGACACTGGCCTTTCTGCAGTTGTGATGGGTTTCTGCTCCAGGGGAAGCCTCCAGGACTTGCTACAAAACATGGACATAAAGTTAGACTGGATGTTTAAATCATCCCTTTTGATGGATTTAATTAAAGTAAGTCTCCCTCTGGTTTCCCAACTTGCTGTCGCAGTAAGATCCTATCGCCAGAAAAACCAAATGCACAGGTACAGAATAGGGGGTACCTGGCTCACTAGTAGTAACTGTGAGAGGGATCTCGGAGTCCTAGTAGACAATCAGTTAAACAGGAGCCAGCTGTGCCCTGCAGCTGCCCAAAAAGCAAATGCAATTCTGGGCTGCATTAACAGAGAATCGGGATCACAAAAAGAGGTGATACTGCTTTATAAGGCATTGGTAAACCATACTTGAATATTTCATCCGGTTTTGGTCACCACGCTGTAAAAAAGATGTTGAGACTCTAGAAAGAGTACAGAGAAGAGCAACAAAGATGATCAGGGGACTGGAGGCTAAAATATATAAGGAAAGGCTGTTGGAATTGGGTAGGTCTAGTTTAACGAAGAGAAGGACGAGGGGGGACATGATAGCAGTGTTCCAATATCTCAGGGGCTGCCCCAAAGAAGAGGGAGTCAAGCTATTCTCCAAAGTGCCTGAAGGCAGGACAAGAAGCAACGGGTGGAAGCTAACCAAAGAGAGAAGCAACCTAGAACTAAGGAGAAACTTCCTGACAGTTAGAACAATTAACCAGTGGAACAACCTGCCTCCAGAACTGGTGAATGCTCCAACACTGGAAGTTTTTAAGAAGAGACTGGACAGCCATTTGTCTGAAATGGTATAGGGTTTCCTGCCTGAGCAGGGGGTTGAACTCGATGACCTCCAAGGTCCCTTCCAACTTTATTATTATTATTATTATTATTATTATTATTATTATTATTATTATTATTATTATTGTTGTTGTTGTTGTTGTTGTTGTTGTTGTTGTTGTTGTTGTTGTTGTTGTTAAGCGAACACAGCTCTGAAGTGCGGCCCTACCTTTAATCCCAAGGAGTTAGATAGACACGGTCAATGAGTGCTTAAAAAGTGCTTAAAGCACTTTTCCAGCTTGCAAACGGCCCCTAAAATTCTTGGATGCGGCTCCGGATCCTTCCAGCCGAGGAAACATACCTAAAGAATTCATCCTATTCACGGAACTGAATGCATCCAATGTCAACATGACTCCCTCTGAATTTAAAACGAAGGGTGTATCCATAGAAGTGTCAGTTGCAATCCTGGCTGCCATCTTGTCGTTCTGGACCCTGGATGGTTCTGGAGTCCAAGAAATTTAATTTTTACCTTACCTCTGCCAATTTCCTTGTGCCGTATCTCCTCATTTTGTAATAATAATAATAATAATAATAATAATAATAATAATAATAATAATAATAATAATAATAATAATAATAAAGTTGGAAGGGACCTTGGAGGTCATCTAGTCCAACCCCCTGCTCAGGCAGGAAACCCTATCCCATTTCAGACAAATGGCTGTCCAGTCTCTTCTTAAAAACATCCAGTGTTTTGGCATTCACCCCCACATCCCCAACCGCCCACTCTGTAAAAGGATGACCGGGCCCGTCCTAAAAAACAGCTTGTCCTGGGCCAGCTGAGGTAAAATCTCACCATCTTGAAGGCCCATTTCTGAAGGTGGATTTATTTAAATTTTTTACGTGTTTCTTCTATTGGCTCAGAGGAAAATGCCAAAGCTTTATTTTTATTTTTTTCCAGGGCATGAAATACTTACACAGCCAGGCCTTGATTCACGGGCGCCTCAAATCCCGCAACTGTGTGGTGGATGGACGGTTTGTGTTGAAAATCACGGATTATGGCTACGGGGAGCTACTAGCGGCCCAGGGGGTCTCCCAGGGTCAGGCCTCTGCCGAAGGTAGTTTTGCCCCGTTTTACGACCTTTTTCGCCCCAGTTGTTAAGTGAGTCGCTGCAGTTGTTAAGTCAGTAATCCAGTTGTTAAGTGAATCCGGCTTCCCTTATTGACTTGGCTTGTCAGAAGGTCGCAAAAGAGGATTGCGTGACCCCGGGACGCTGCGACCGTCATAAATCTGAGCCATTGGCCAAGCGTTTGAATTTATTTTTTTTTTGGTAAAAGTTTTTATTGTTTTTTCCCCCCATACATTTAGTAATAATTTTTCAACCAACGTGCTGCCCGAGTTTACTTTCACTAATTACATATTTAATTCCTTATCCTTTATTCTTTCTCTAGCCATTGATAAAATAAGTCCCAAGTTTCTTCTTTTTCTTTCAGCCTCATAGTCAGTCTGTCCATCTCTGCGCGTTCTAGTATTTTTTTTTTATTATTTCGTCATCTGATGGTATTCCTTCATTTTTCCAGTATTGCGCAAATATAATCCTTGCCGCTGTTGTGACGTGCAAAATCAAATATATGCTTTGTTTGTCAGTCTTTTCTGGCATTATACCTAATAAAAAAAGTTCAGGTTTAAAATCTACGTGTTCTCCCAACATCTTTTCTAGCCAGGCATGTATCTTTTTCCAATAACTCTTTACTTTATCACAAGTCCACCAAACATGATAATAAGTGCCTGACTTATGTTTACATTTCCAACATCTATCTGACTTGTTTTTGAACATTTTTGCTAGTCTTGCTGGTGGCAAGTGCCATCTATAGAACATTTTATATACATTTTCTTTGTAGGAAGTTGACATTGTCAGTTTGTAATTTCTTTCCCATACATTGTGCCATTTTTCTAATTCTATATGGTATCCAAAGTTTTTCGCCCATCTTATCCTTGCTTCTTTAACTTGTTTGCTTTCCATTTTGAAAGTTAATAGAAAATTATACATTTTCTTAATTAATTTCTCATCAGAAGTTAACAATGTCTTATCAAACACAGTTTGTTCCTTATAAAATCCATACCGGTTTAACATCTTTATCATCTCTAGCTTGCATTTGTAAATGTGCCCGCCATGATAGATTGATTTTCCATTTCTTCTACCAAGCGTTTGAATTTTGATCACGTGATCGTGGGGAGGCTGCAAAGGTCATAACTGTGAAAAACGGTCATAACTCACCTTTTTCAGTAACGTTGTAACTTTGAATGGCCACTAAACAAACTGTTGTAAGTTGAGGACTACCTGTTTCTAATTTATTTGCCTTCCGTCTCATGGTAAACAGTGACTTACTAACACTTTGCCTGTTTTTTTCCGTAAGGAAGAAATTGAGCAGTTGGGTGAATTTCTATAAATGGAATTCTGGGGGAATATATTATGTTGGTATTGTTTTTAGGATACTGTGGAGTAGAGAAAGAGGCAACGAACAGCTAGACTGTCGAGTTAGAAGAGACCATGGAGGTCTTCTAGACTAACCCCCCCTTGGTGCAGAAGTAGCTGGTACTTCTCTAAGAGATGACCATTCAGATGGCTTTTCTGCTTAAAAACATCAAAGGAGGGAGGGAAAAGAGGAAGGGGAATGGGAAGGGAGAGGAAAGAAGGGAAGGAAGGAAGGAAAGGAAAAGGAGGAAAAAGGAGGAGAGAAGGGAATGGAAGAGGGAGAGAAGGAGGGAAAGGGAGAAAAGGAAGGAAGGAAAGAAGAGAAGGAAGTGAGGGAGGGAGGGAGGAAGCAAGAGAAAAAAGGAAAGAAGGAAAGGGAGAGGAAAGGAGGAGAGAAAGGAATGGAAGAGGGAGAAAGGGAGGGAAGGAGAGAGGAAAGAAGGAAGGAAGGAAAGAAGAGAAGGAAGGGAGGAGGGAGGAAGCAGGGGAAAAAAGGAAAGAAGGAAAGGAAGGGAAAGGAGGAGAGAAGGGAATGGAAGAGGGAGGGAGGGAAGGGAAGGGAAGAGAAGGGAAAAGGGAGGGAAGAAGAAAAGAACAAAAGAAAGAAGAAAGGAAAGGAGGAAGGGTGGGAAGGGAGGAGAGAAGGAAATGGAAGATGGAGGGAGAGAGGAAGGAAGGAAAGAAGGAAGGGGAAGAGACAAAGGAAAGGGGAAGGCGAAGGAAGGAAGGAAAGAAGAGAAGGAAGAGAGGGAGGAAGCAAGAGAAAAAAGGAAAGAAGGAAACAGAGAGGAAAGGAGGAGAGAAAGTTATGGAAGAGGGAGGGAGGAGGGAGGGAGGAATGAAGGAAAGAAGAGAAGGAAGGGAGGAGGGAGGGAGGAAGCAAGGGAAAAAAGGAAAGAAGGAAAGGGAGGGGAAAGGAGGAGAGCAGGGAATGGAAGAGGGAGAGAGGAAGGAGGGAGGAAGGAATGAAGGAAAGAAGAGAAGGAAGGGAGGGAGGGAGGAAGCAAGAAAAAAGGAAAGAAAGAAAGAAAGGGAGAGGAAAGGAGGAGAGAAGGGAATGGAAGAGGGAGAGAGGGAGGGAAGGGAAGAGAAGGGAAAAGGGAGGGAAGAAAAGAACAAAAGAAAGAAGAAAGGAAGGAAGGAAGGAAGGGTGGGAAAGGAGGAGAGAAGGGAATGAAAGGCGAAGGAAGGAAGGAAGGAAGGAAGGAAGGAAGGAAGGAAGGAAGGAAGGAAGGAAAGGATCTTAATTATCCTGATGTTTTCAATAGCCTTAAATTCACCGACAAAAGAAACCAGAAAAAAAAAGTCACAAAAGTTCTAATGAGTGAATGCACGAATAACTTTCAATCCCAGAATGCTTTGCAGAGAAGCAATAGTACTTAAACCACAATGGAAGCCTTTCAAACTTGCAATGCCCTTGAAAACTTAACCTGGAGTTGTAAACAGCTCTCCGACTTCTTAAATCTGTATTGTAAGATCTGGGCTAAAAAGGGCAATCTTTACAGAATCTTTCAGCAACCAATTGCTGACTAACAGGGTCCGCGTTTTGATTTTTTCTTTCTTTTTTTTCTAAGAATTGCTCTGGACTGCTCCTGAATTACTCAGAGATCCTCAGCTGAGTCCCAAAGGCAGCTTGCAAGGCGACGTGTTCAGTTTTGCCATTATTCTGCAAGAGGTAATACTCCGAGGGCCTCCCTACGGCACGGTGGAGCTGTCGGCTGAAGGTGAGCTCTTTGCTGCTCAGATGTTTCTCTGCAGCTCCTCTCTTAACTCCGTCCTACAGGTAGAAGCAACGGATGGAAACTAAACAAAGAGAGAAGCAACCTAGAACTAAGGAGGAATTTCCTGACAGTTAGAACAATTAACCAGTGGAACAACCTGCCTCCAGAAGATTGCTTCCAACTTTTTATTATTATGGATCATCGCACAGTCAGCCAGATGTTCAGACTGGATTTGGCATTTTGTCTACCTATTGAGTCCTTACCAAGGACCTGGGATGATGATATTATTATTATTATTATTATTATTATTATTATTATTATTATTATTATTATTATTATTATTATTATTATTATTATTATTATTATTATACTGGAGGCTAAAATGTATAATGAATAATTGCAGGAATTGGGTATTTCTAGTTTAATGGAGAGAAGGACGAGGGGGGACATGATAGCAGTGTTCCAATATCTCAGGGGCTGCCCCAAAGAAGAGGGAGTCAAGCTATTCTCCAAAGCGCCTGAAGGCAGGACAAGAAGCAACGGATGGAAACTAATCAAGGAGAGAAGCAACCTGGAACTAAGGAGAAACTTCCTGACAATGAGAAATATTAGCCAGTAGAACAACCTGCCTCCAGAAGTGGTGAATGCTCCAACACTGGAAGTTTTAAAGAAGAGACTGGACAACCATTTGTCCGAAATGGTATAGGGTTTCCTGCCTGAGCGGGGGGTTGGGCTAGATGACCTCCAAGGTACCTCTCAACTTCTTGTTCTTGTTCTTGTTCTTGTTCTTGTTCTTCTTGTTCTTGTTCTTGTTCTTGTTCTTCTTGTTCTTCTTGTTCTTCTTGTTCTTCTTGTTCTTCTTCTTCTTCTTCTTCTTCTTGTTCTTCTTCTTCTTCTTCTTCTTCTTCTTCTTCTTCTTCTTCTTCTTTTTCATTATCATCATCATCATCATCATCATCATCATCATCATCATCATTATAGTCCTCAACTTACGACCACAACTGAACCCAAATTTTCCATGGTTAAGTGAGACGGGCTTGTTAACTGAGTTGTGCCCCTTTTTGCAACCTTTCTTGCCTCACTTGTTAAGCGAATCACTTGCAGTTGTTAAGTGAACCATGCGGCCATTAAGCGAATCTGGCTTCTGCCATTGACTTTGCTGGCTGGGAAGGTTACAAATGGTGACCCCGTGACCCCAGGACGCTGCAACGGTGGTAAATACACGGCAGTTGCCAAGCATCTGAATTTTGATCACACGACCGTGGGGATGCTGCACCATTTGTTAATACCACTTTACAAGGCCTTGGTAAGGCCACACTTGGAATACTGCATCCAGTTTTGGTCACCACCATGTAAAAAAGATGCTGAGACTCTAGAAAGAGTTCAGAGAAGAGCAACAAAGATGATCAGGGGACTGGATGCTAAAGCATATAAGGAACAGTTGCTGGAATTGGGTATGTCTAGTTTAATGAAGAGAAGGANTTAATACCACTTTACAAGGCCTTGGTAAGGCCACACTTGGAATACTGCATCCAGTTTTGGTCACCACCATGTAAAAAAGATGCTGAGACTCTAGAAAGAGTTCAGAGAAGAGCAACAAAGATGATCAGGGGACTGGATGCTAAAGCATATAAGGAACAGTTGCTGGAATTGGGTATGTCTAGTTTAATGAAGAGAAGGATGAGGGGGACATGATAACAACCTTCCAGTATCTCAGGGGCTGCCCCAAAGAAGAGGCAGTCAAGCTATTCTCCAAAGCGCCTGAAGGCAGGACAAGAAGCAACAGATGGAAACTCATCATGGAGAGAAGCAACCTAGAACTAAGGGGAAACTTCCTGACAGTGAGAACAATTAATCAGTGGAACAACCTGCCTCCAGATGTTGTGGGTGCTCCAACACTGAAGGTTTTTTACAAGAAATTGGACAACCATTTGTCTGAAATGCTACAGGGTCTCCTGCTTGAGCAGGGGGCTGGACTAGAAGACCTCCCAGGTCCCTTCCAACTCTGTTATTCTGTTATTTACTTTTTTTTTCACTGCCATTGTCTCTTCGAACAGTCGCTAAACCAATGGGTGTAAGTCAGAGACAACTTGTTCTGTGGAGCTTTCTGTAATTCAGAGTTTCAGGACCAAGGACAGCACCGTCTCTGTCTCTTGCGCTCTGTGTCTTCAAGGCACGGGTCTTCAACCTTGGCCACTTTAAGACTTGTGGACTTCAACTCCCAGAATTCCTCCGCCAGCCATGCCACTTGGCCACTTTAAGACGTGTGGACTTCAACTCCCAGAATTCCTCCGCCAGCCATGCCACTTGGCCTCTTTAAGACTTGTGGACTTCAAGTCCCAGAATTCCTCCGCCAGCCATGCCACATGGCCACTTTAAGACTTGTGGACTTCAACTCCCAGAATTCCTCCGCCAGCCATGCCACTTGGCCACCTTAAGACTTGTGGACTTCAACTCCCAGAATTCTGAGAGTGGAAGTCCCCAAATCTTAAAGTTGCCAGGGTTGGAGAGCCCTGTTCTAAGGAAGCCTCAGGGCCAGGCCTACCAGCAGGCTCACTGAGGCAAACTATTCGTCCAGGTTATTTTAGAGTGGCCCCTTTGTTATGTCTGGCTTTTTGGGACTGCTTGAACCCTTGACCAGTTCAGATGGCTCCCTTCCCTTGCTGTGTTTGATCTTACCTTGCATTGATTTTATTGTAAGCTCTTTGAGTGTTCTGAGCTGCCTAGAGCCGGGAAGAGTTGAGTGGCGTGCCAGCTTAATAAATACATAAATAAAACATCCTCATTGTCGGAAGTGGTATAGGGTTTCCTGCCTGAGCAGGGGGGTTGGACTAGAAGACCTCCAAGGTCCCTTCCAGGTCTGTTATTCTAAATTCTCAATTCTCTAGGATTTTGTGTTGCTGCCCGAATCATGTAACGAGAGGGCTGCAATAGTTCCCTACACAGCCAGCATGCACAACATGGATTATAAGTTGTCACTCTAAAGAAAGCCGAAGAGTGACATGTGGGGTCGGGGTCGTGCAACACCCTTAACTTGGTTATGAATTAAACCATTTTATTTATCGATTTCTTTGTTTGTTTGCTACACACAGAGAAACACACACACACACGATTAAAAGTTTTAAGGAGAACATAAAAACAAACCCAAACTAATACAGAACATAGAAAATAAAGAAAGGGAAGGAAGGAAGGAAGGAAGGAAGGAGGGAGGGAGGGAGGGAGGGAGGGAGGGAAGGAAGGAAGGAAGGAGGGAGGGAGGGAGGGAGGGAGGGAGGGAAGGAAGGAAGGAAGGAAGGAAGGAGGGAGGGAGGGAGGGAGGGAGGGAAGGAAGGAAGAAAGGAAGGAAGGAGGGAGGGAGGGAGGGAAGGAAGGAAGGAAGGAGGGTGGGAGGAAGGAAGGAAGGAAGGAAGGAAGGAAAAACCTTTAGCTGTATAAGTAGTCCTCAAATTACAACAATTCATTTGGTGACTGCTCAAAGTTGCGACATCACTGAAAAATGACCATTTTTCACAGTTACGACCGTTGCAGCATCCCCACGGTCACGTGACCCAAATTCGGACGCTTGGCAACTGACTTGTATTTATGACGGTTTCACTGTCCCGGGGCGGTCACGCGATCCCCTTCTGCAACCTTCTGACTAGCAAAGTCAACACGGAAACCAGATTCACTTAACAACCAGGTTCCTGACTTAACAACGGCCGTGATTCACTTAACAACCTCTGGCAAGAAAGGTTGTAAAATGGGGCAAAACTCACTTCACAAATGTCTCGCTTAGCAACGGAAAGTTTGGGGCTCCGTTGCGGTCGTAAGTCGAGGACTCCCTGTACAACGAATTAACCCATTTTCTGTATCTGAGAAATCGTGTGAAGCCATGTCGTCGGTTCTCTTGGGAAGAGAGGAATTATTAGTGACTCAACCTCTGACGAAAAGGACTTTTTTTGTGATTTTTTTTCTCTTTGGCCCAGAGATTATAAGCAAACTGAAGCACCCCCTGACTTTGTTTCGGCCAAGTGTTCCCCTGGAAAACACCCCTTTGGAATATATCCAGCTGATGAAGCAGTGCTGGAGTGAAGTGCCGACGCGAAGGCCGACGTTTGACAAGGTCTTTGAACAGGTTAGGACTTGCGAGGTCGATTAATTTATTATACGGAGTTACTTATTATATTGAGAGCCAGTTGGGTTAACGCACCAGGATATAAGCAGGAGATGGTGACTTCGGGTCCTACTGGCTGGGTGACTTTGGGCCAATCACCAGGAGACGGTGAGTTCTAGTTCTGCCTTAGGAATGAAAGCTGGCTGGGTGATTTTGGGGTCACTCACCAGGAGACGGTGAGTTCTAGTCCCGCCTTAGGCATGAAGGCCGACAGGGTGACTTTGGGCTAATCATCAGGAGATGGTGAGTTCTAGTCCCGCCTTAGGCATGAAAGCCAGTTGGGTGATTTTGGAATCAATCACCAGGAGATGGTGAGTTCAAGTCCCGTCTTAGGCATGAAAGCCAGCTGGGTGACTTTGGGCCAATCACCAGGGAAGGGTGAGTTCTAGTCCCGCCTTAGCCATGAAAGCCGACAGGGTGACTTTGGGCCAATCACCAGGAGACGGTGAGTTCTAGTCCCGCCTTAGCCATGAAAGCCAGCTGGGTGATTTTGGTCTGGTCTAGTAGTGGGTTCTGCATTGAGAGTGGAGGGCTTGTTTCTAGTCAATGCAGATGTAGCCTATAAAAGCTCTATTTTATCTGGTGGACTGACCCGCACTGCACTCCGAAATCCATCCTCGATTCCTGTCTTTTCCTCCTGAAGTTCAAAACCATCAACAAAGGAAAACGGATGAACATCATGGACTCCATGCTGCGGATGCTGGAAAACTATTCCAGCAACTTGGAGGAATTAATCCGAGAGAGAACGGAGCAACTGGAGGTGGAAAAGCAGAAGACGGAGCAGCTGCTCTCGCAGATGCTCCCCTTGTAAGTGCAAAGCAATCAGGCCTCTCCTCTAGATACAGGGAGTCCTCGACTTAGGACTACAAGTCACAAAGGGGCCATAGTTCCCCCATGCTGGCTGAGGAATTCTGGGAGTTGAAGTCCACAAGTCATGAAGTCCACAAGTCATGAAGTCCACAAGTCATTTGCAAGACCGCCTCCTACCAAACACCTCCCTTCGACCAGTCCGCTCCCACAGAGAGGGCCTCCTTAGAGTGCCGTCGGCCAGACAATGCCGGCTGGCGACCCCCAGGGGGAGAGCCTTCTCTGTGGCAGCTCCTGCCCTCTGGAATGACCTACCCCCCGACCTACGTACAGTTGCGGACCTGCGCCTTTTTCGCCGNAATCACCAGGAGATGGTGAGTTCTAGTCCCGCCTTAGGCATGAAAGCCAGCTGGGTGACTTTGGGCCAATCACCAGGAGAAGGTGAGTTCTAGTCCTGCCTTAGGCATGAAAGCTGGCTGGGTGACTTTGGGCCAATCACCAGGAGACGGTGAGTTCTAGTCCCACCTTAGGCATGAAAGCCAGCTGGGTGACTTTGAGCCGATCACCAGGAGACGGTGAGTTCTAGTCCCGCCTTAGCCATGAAGACCGACAGGGTGACTTTGGGCCAATCACCAGGAGATGGTGAGTTCTAGTCCCGCCTTAGGCATGAAAGCCAGCTGGGTGACTTTGGGCCAATCACCAGGAGACGGTGAGTTCTAGTCCCGTCTTAGGCATGAAAGCCAGCTGGGTGACTTTGGGCTGGTTTGTGGGTTCTGCATTGAGAGTGGAGGGCTTGTTTCTAGTCAATGCAGATTTAGCCTATAAAAGCTCTATTTTATCTGGTGGACTGACCAGCACTCCGAAATCCAATCTCGATTCCTGTCTTTTCCTCTTCAAGTTCAAAACCATCAACAAAGGGAAACGGATGAACATCATGGACTCCATGCTGCGGATGTTGGAAAACTATTCCAGCAACTTGGAGGAATTAATCCGAGAGAGAACGGAAGAACTGGAGGTGGAAAAGCAGAAGACGGAGCAGCTGCTCTCGCAGATGCTCCCCTTGTAAGTGCAAAGCAATCAGGCCTCTCCTCTAGATACAGGGAGTCCTCGACTTACGACTACAAGTCGCAAAGGGGCCATAGTTCCCCCATGCTGGCTGAGGAATTCTGGGAGTTGAAGTCCGCGAGTCATGAAGGGGCCATAGTTCCTGTCCTAATGCCATTTCAGGCCAGTGGCTGAAACGCTGATAAGAGGAGCATCCGTGGAGCCCGAATACTTTGACGAAATCACCATCTACTTCAGTGACATCATCGGCTTCACCACCATGTCCGCCCTCTGTGAGCCTATTGAAATTGTGGATCTCCTGAATGACCTCTACACTCTCTTTGACGCCATCATTGGTCATCATGATGTCTACAAGGTAGCTCTTTGTTTTCCACTTTTCCTCAAGACTAAAGGAGTCTGTGATTGTCTTCTTCTGGAATGTGTTTTGATTTTTCCCTCTAGCCAACGGCCTTGAGGTTTGCTAATATCTCCCCTCTGAGTCCAGGTTGAATCCTGCTACATATAACTACTAGGGAACATCATCAGTGCTAGTAAGAAGTGGGCTTTGCTCTCAGTTTATATTCCCTCACTTCCTTCTGGCACTGATGACGTTACCTAGTTGGGTAATGAAACGTCTGCAAGAAAACAACCAAACTCAGAGAGCACCAAGGACCCCACAGTCCTCCTCCTCCTCCTCCTCCTCCTCCTCCTCCTCCTCCTCCTCCAGCCCCCTTCCCTTCTAACACTGATGATGTTACCTAGTTTCGATAATGAAACGTCTTCAAGAAAACCACGAAGCTCAGAGAGCACCAAGATCCACCATCATCTCCTCCTCTTCCATTTCCTCTTCCATCTCCTCCTCCTTCTCCTCCTCCTCCTCCTCCTCCTCCTTCTCCATCCCCCTTCCCTTCTGACACTGATGATGTTACCTAGTCTGGATAATGAAATGTCTTCAAGAAAACCACCCAGCTCAGAGAGCACCAAGGACCCCCCTCAACATTTTGGTTTCCAGGTGGAGACCATTGGTGATGCTTACATGGTGGCCTCAGGGCTCCCGAAACGCAACGGCCACAGGCACGCGGCGGAGATCGCCAACATGTCTCTGGATATCCTCAGCTCAGTGGGAACTTTCCGAGTGAAGCATATCCCGGATCTGCCCGTGAAGATACGGATGGGACTGCATTCAGGTATCCAGGTTTATTTCTTCCTGCTTGGTCCAATCACTCTGCTAAACAACTAATTCCCACCACACTGTCAAACTACCTTGTAAGGCTGAATTCCTGTTCTTCTTCTCACCTTTTCTATTACCTGTCTCATTATCTTCTTATGACTATAATTTTGTGGCTTGTATCTTACGGTTTATGTTAATTGTTTTATTTCGTACTCTAGTATGATTTATGTTGATCGCTTATTTAGCATCCTATGACTATCATCTTATGTATCTTATGATTTATGATGAATGTATGTTATGATTATAATCATGATTTATCACTTGTTGCTTGTATGTACACTGAGAACTTCTGCACCGGAGACAAATTCCTTGTGTGTGTCCAATCACACTTGGCCAAATAAAGTATATTCTATTCTATTCTATTCTATTCTATTCTATTCTATTCTATTCTATTCCATATTTTCTATTCTATTCTATTCCATATTTTCTATTCTATTCTATTCTATTCTATTCTATTCTATTCTATTCTATTCTATTCTATTCCATTCCATATTTTCTATTCTATTCTATTCTATTCTATTCTATTCTATTCTATTCTATTCTATTCCTTATTTTCTATTCTATTCTATTCTATTCTATTCTATTCTATTCTATTCTATTCTATTCTATTCTGTTCTATTCTATTCTATTTGTTGGAATATTCATGAGCAGGAAGAGTCATGTGGTAACTCAGTCAGCCAATGTGAAGAAAGTGCTACTGAGTCTGTGCAAAAAGGTATTGAGTTAGCTGGATTTTTATCCAGTCTCAGGTCTGTCTCTGTATCTCTCTGTAAGGAGTCTTCATTGTGCTATGTTGCTGTAAAGAAGAATGTATGGTATTGTAAATAATTTTATATGAATATAAAGAAGTTATTTGAATCAGCTAAAATGCAGTCAACTGTGAGAGCTTCTGATTTATTTTTCACCAATAGAGAAAATTAAAATTCTCTAACACTATTCTATTCTATTCTATTCTATTCTATTCTATTCTATTCTATTCTATTCTATTCTATTCTATTCTATTCTATTCTTTCTTGTCATTTCTTTCTTCTCTAACTCTCTCCTTTCTTTCCTTTGTCCCTTTCCTTTTTTTCCACCCTTCCTCCATCCCTCCCTGTCATTCTTTTCCTTCCTTCCATCCTTCCATCCTTCCTTCCTTCCCTCCTCCCTCCCTCCCTCCCTCCTTCCCTCCCTTTTCTGTTCCTTCCTTCCCTCCCTCCGTGTCATCCCCCTGCTGAAGACCGCATCCTCAGGGCATCCTCTTATGTCTTAGTGAATTCCCCCATGCTGTGTGGCCGCCGTGTCATTATTATCCTTCACTTAAGAAATGTCTCGCTTAGCAACAGAAATTTTGGGAGCTCAATTGTTGTCGTAAATCGAGGACTACCTATTAAAACCAAGATCTAATCAAACCAGATTGCCCTCCATCTGGAGGTCCTTAAAACTATACTCCAACTTAAAACCAGACATGATTCTTGGGGGGGAACTTTGCTTTGGCTTAGCAAAATCTGATGGAGACATTCAGTCTTTGTAATTCTTTGCGCCAAGCAAGCTTTCTCCGCATCTTCCGGTTTCACACTGTTTCTTTGAGTTTTTCTACACTCTGGTAGTAAAACCTAGATTCATCTCATTAATTTTTTTAATCTTTTTATTATTATTATTATTATTATTATTTTATTTCCCTAGGTCCCTGTGCTGCAGGGGTGGTAGGTCTCACCATGCCCAGGTACTGTCTGTTTGGAGACACGGTGAACACGGCTTCCCGAATAGAGTCCACCGGATTGCGTAAGGATTGGGTGGTTTGTTAAGGAAATGTTGGTATGGAATTGTGGGCAAGGCCTCTGATTTGTCGGTGTGTGTGTGTGTGTGTGTGTGTCTGTGTCTGTGTCTGTGTCTGTGTATTTTCCAAAACATCAGAAAGCAAAGAAACAGTGGACGGAAACTAACCCAGGAGAGAAGCAACCTGGAATTAAGGAGAAACTTCCCGACAATGAGGACTAGTAACCAGTGGAAGGGCTTGCCTTCAGAGTTTGTGTGTGCTTCATCACTGGAGGTTTTAAAGAAGAGACTGGATAGCTGGTTTCTGAAAAGATTTAGGGTCTCCTACATGAGCAGGGGGTTGGACTAGAAGTCCTCCAAGGTCCCTTCCAATTCTGTTATTCCATTATTAAGAAGGACAAGAAGCAACGGATGGAAACTAATCAAGGAGAGAAGCAACCTGGAATTAAGGAGAAACTTCCTGACAGGGAGGACAATCAACCAGTGGAACAGCTTGCCACCAGAAATCGTGGGTGCTCCATCACTGGAGTTTTTTTAAGAAGAGACTGGACAGTCACCTGTGTGAGACTGTATAGGTTCTCTCCTGCTTGAGCAGGGGGCTGGACTAGAAGACCTCCAAGGTCCCTTCCAGCTCCTATTCTGATTCTTTCCAACTTTGTTAGTCTGTACTCTTGCAAGCATTATATTAGAGAGCAAGCAAGATGACCTCGATGTTTTGTTACCAAAATAATGAGGGGGAAACCATGGTTTGAGCCCAAAACAACAAGGGGAGATGTGTCAGCCTTACCGGATAGACCAGACAGGAAACATCCTAGATGAGTTAATTCTACTTTTCTCCTTTGATTTCTCTCTTGCTTTTAGTAGTAGTAATAATAATAATAATAATAATAATAATAATAATAATAATAATAATAATAATAATAGAAGAAGAAGAAGAAGAAGAAGAAGAAGAAGAAGAAGAAGAAGAAGAAGAAGAAGAAGAAGAAGAAGAAGAAGAAGAAGAAGAAGAAGAAGAAGAAGAAGAAGAAGAAGAAGAAGAAGAAGAAGAAGAAGAAGTTGTTGGAAGGGACCTTGGAGGTCATCTAGTCCAACCCCCTGCTCAGGCAGGAAACCCTATACCATTTCGGACAAATGGCTGTCCAGTCTCTTCTTAAAAACTTCCAGTGTTGGAGCATTCACCGCTTCTGGAGGCAGGTTGTTCCACTGGTTAATTGTTCTCACTGTCAGGAAATTTCTCCTCAGTTCTAGGTTGCTTCTCTCCTTGATCAGTTTCCATCCGTTGCTTCTTGTCCTGCCTTCAGGCGCCTTGGAGAATTTTGAGCATATGTACCAGGGACACTGCCGGGGTTGAGGTGTGCCCTTTTCTCTCTTGCTAAAATCAAACCACCATTTCCAGCCTACAGGATTCACATCAGCCAAAACACCATGAGGATCCTTCAGAACCTTAAAGACGGTTACAAAATGAACTTCAGAGGGAAGACAGAACTGAAGGTAAGGAGGTTTCAGTGGGACGCGGGGGACGCCCTGACTGACTGATTCACTGACATTGACTGACTGACTGACTGATTGATTCACTGAATTTGATTTATACAATTTATATGGCCACCTACCTCTCAGCCACGGCTCTAACAATAATTATGCCTAAAATCTAGATAATGAACTGCCCAAAATTGCATAAATCCTTTCTCAACTCAACTTTCCTGGCCAAATGGCCAGAGATGCTGGCAGTTGGGCAGCATTTTATGTATGTATGTATGCATATATGTCTGTATACGTATGTATGTATTTGATTTCTATAAGCACCCCTCGGAGCGAATGACTCTGCGTGACTCACAACGCAAAAACATATATTACAATTAAAATCTTAAAAACATCTCAAAACAATAAAACCATTAAAACACAAACAGACATTAAAACGTCTAATTTGAATATATACAAAGCAAGACAAATTGGCCTTGTTAACAATAAAACTGGGAGACACATGAAATATAGCCAAGTCTTTAAAACTTTACAGAAAGCTAACAGGTTTGGGGGCCAATCTGATGTCTGGTTCTTGGGATAGTCAGCCAGATGTTGAGACCAGACTGGGCATTTTTGTCTTCCTATCCAGTCCTTCCAAAGGACCTGGGATAGCCAGATGTGGATATTTGATGTCATCTGTCATCTGTTCTAAATAAAGCTGCCTTTTGCAATTGACAGATGGGGCTTTTGTCAGCGCCAGTGGTGTTCAAGGGATGCTCCAGATGTTTTGGGATTGCACCCAAAGCGCCCATCCCTATCGGTCCTACCTCTGCTTTCTTTTGCCACTGTTATTCCGCCTCTATTAATATTCATGATTATGATTATTGAAATTGGCTACATAATGAAATTAAGGGGGGGGACCTTTATTTTTCCCCCCAAAATGCAGGATCATTAATGCAGGAATGGGCAGATCAGGCTTCACTTGAGCCCTTGTAAGTGACTCTGGATTCAGCTGGATAGCAGAGATCAATTTCCCAGCTCCATCAATGATCAGATTCTTATTTATTGCACTGGGCTGTTGTTTGAATTGTTTTTTTTTTCCTCTTCTTTTGAGCGGTGAGGAGTTTGTTTTGTATTTTTGGGGGGAAATGGACTTATAAAAACATAACTGATTTTTTTGTAAAAATATATTAATAACATGCTCCTATTCTTTTAGAAAATACCCATTCTATTGGATTTACGTGTCCCTTTTTTAAATAGGGCAAAGGATTGGAAGACACCTACTGGCTAGTAGGCAAAAAAGGATTCACGAAAACCCTTCCTCATCCTCCGGAAATAAAACCAGGGTAAATATTATGTCACACAATCAGCCAGATCTTTAGGCTGGATGTGGCATTTTTATCCACCTATTGAATGCCTCCCAAGGATCTGGGACAGGCAGTTGTTGTTTGAAGTTGTTTAAAGGTATCGTTGCAAGTAAAAGAAGGAAGGAAAGGAAGAAAGAGGAAAAGGGAAGGGAAAGGAAGAGGAAGGAGGAAGAGTGGGAAATGAAGGGGAGGGGAGGGAGGAAGGGAGGGAGGGAGGAAGAGTGGGAAATTAAGGGGAGGGGAGGAGAGGAGAGAAGGGAAGGAAGAAAGGAAGAAATAAAGGAGGAAGAGTGGGAAAGAGAGGAGACGAGGGAAGGCAAGGAAAGGGAAGGAAGGAAGGAG